TTCAACGCATCTTCCCAACTTGGGAATGCTACTGACTGAAAATTACTTTACCATTATCGAAATGTTACCTTCGTGACCAGCTGCTTTGTTCAGTTTTGATAGAAGGGAAACAGTGATTTACTTCTACATCTGACAAGCACGATGGCTTATTGTTGAAACACATTAACAAATAACATTTCGAGCATAGCAAGCTATCTTGGCAACGATAGGTATAAGCATCCATCAATCATATCAAAGATTCGGATAAACGGAACTTATGAAAACAAAAATGAATACATTAGGTTTAACATTCAACACAACATTCTGCGATTCCTCTATGTAACATTCGACCACTGCATCGCGCATTGATTATTGCGATAGCACATGAATGGAGTCATTTGATAATAACAGCATGCAAATGTTCTGCGAAATTAGAGAGACTAAAAAATTGAAATTTAACTTTCCAACCGTTTTAATCAATTCATCGTCGTCATCACCGATATCGATACTTTCTTGTGTTTGTTCGCTAGCAACATTTACATGTGCTGCGCTCTCATCACCGCACTCCAAACGTTTCTTCTTCGGTGAAAACTGTTCAGCATTCAACGAAGATGTGTTCAGTGGAGCGCCATCACAGTATGATACGATGATTCGTTTCGGTGCTTTTCTGAAAGCATTTCCACACCGAGTTGATGAAACTTTTATATTTCTGTCACCTCATTCAAACATTCGAATTATTCAGTTACCAAGTTCTGAACGAGAGAAAACAAAAATTTGAGAATACCGATTCATTCATACAAAATTCAGTTNATTCGAATTATTCAGTTACCAAGTTCTGAAGGAGAGAAAACAAAAATTTGAGAATACCGATTCATTCATACAAAATTCAGTTCGAAGCACAAACTTATCCACTGTTATATACAACTACATCAGAAGCAGAGTACATTCAAGCAGATACAAATGTTACAATGGAATAATCTCGAATGCTGTACGAAATGAAAGCAAAGGAAAAATATGTTGAAATGTCGCAAACAAATTGGAAACTAACAACAAGAATATATGATCATTGAAATCAAAGAAACCGTATCCAGTCCAACCATAAACACCTCCGGCTGCAAACCTGAACATAATGAAAATTTAATACTCAATAAATCCACTACACTCCCACTAACTACCTACCCAATTAACTTAAAAGATCCATCCAAAAGGTCTCATTAGAATCATTGAAAAAATGAAACGATATTAGAATACACAGATCATTTAAATAGAGGTATCGTTCAACTGTCATTAAACGATCCAGGCTGAGTTTCTATCGGATGCATGAAGAATGAACAAATTCATTGAAAAGAAGACACTCAACTGCAGTTATAATGCATTTAACGGGTAACGCTACATGAATCGGAATAACAAACAAAAAGAATGCAGTAATTACCTAATGTGAGCATCACGACAAATTTTATCCACTCTGTTGATGAGGCTATATTTTTGATCGATAAGAATGACCAAATCAAACTGCTTGAAGTAATCATCAGTTTTGTCTAGCACGTTTGACGTGTCCACATGCAATGCAACATGAGGATTCAGCACATGGCAGCGATTGCGAGATGCTTCGGCACGCTTAAATAAGTTGTTACGATCAACAATGAATAAACCATAAACATTCAGTAAAGTGAAATGGACACCTCAGCTGAATTGCTCAGTTCCAAGAAATGAATGGAATAAAGTGGAAAGAAATCAGCTGACTGTTAAACGCACTCAACAAATGCGGAATATTCAAAGAAAAACAGAAGAAAGGTCTCATTTTGATTCTCATTTCCAGAATATCATTTGAGATTATGAAAGAGCTGGCCATACTTAAATGATCGCCAAATCAGTAATCAGTAATTGAAATTAGAATTCTATGAAGACGGTCGGTTGATTTCCTGCACTAATCCCCTATGTTGGCCGTGCGGAAATAACGATATCAGGGATGCAAGAATGTGATATTGGTGATAAAAAAGAGGTAGAAACTCGTAATGAGTTGTAATCAACAATTGAATAAACGAAGTAAAATAAATGAATTTTGAAAAAGACTTT